TTTGACTAATACTTAGAATTTTGCCTCTAGAGCCATAGAAGCATTAAAATAAAGGTTATATACATATATTTATTTTTCATTCAATTATTCAAAGCTGACTTCTGTCTCATTAGAAGATTCTTATTCACTATACAATCAACTGTGACCATAAATAAAAGCCAGAACAATACATTCATAGTTAACTTTAAATAGCATCTTTCTCTCCTCTCTCTCCTTATTCCCTTTCTCATTCTCTCTCTCTGTCAGTCTCTCTCTCCTCTTTCTCCCTTTCCAAAAAATGCATACAAAATTAAATAATAATAGGCATGGAAATTCACACAAACTTAGGTAGTATAAGCCAAATGATCTTCTGATATTAATGCAATAAAAATGGTTCTGGCCTACTATCATCTATGAGGCGGCTGGCATCAGACTAATTCTCTTTTATGGACAGCTATAAAAACTGGACAAAATACAAATTCAGCACTGAATCGTGGTTCTCAGAAAATCAGCTCTAATTTAAGGAGCCTTGGAGAAACCAAAATGCTTTGAACCACACAGGATGTTTTCCTGCCTCCTTCTCAGCACTCACTGTGTTTTGCCGAGTAGAGCTCAGGTGCGCCATAGAAAAGAGGCAGGGATTTCAGCATCACTCACAGATCTTGGAGAAAATAAGCTTGTATTTAGGAGCTCAGATACATGGAAAGGGTCGATGGACGTCATTCCAGCTTCTCAGCTGAGACTAGAGGGAGGCACACCGCATGGGCAAGATCGGATGAAAACTAAGGGAGACTTCACTGAGTCAAGGTGGTCTGTCTTTCTGCCCACCAGCAGGAAAAATCAAGATATTTTGGGGAGAAAGATAATGTCCTGGCCACTTTTTATGTGGAAAGTTCAGTAGTCAATCAAAAGTTTCTGGGAACATCAATAAATATGTACATGTAATGAAAAGCCAACACACACACCAGGAGCAATGTCGGTAGAATTACCAGACACAGAATTTAAAGTAACAGTGATTGACATTTTCAGGAAAATAGGTGGCAAAATTAAGAATTTCACCAGAAACTTGGAATCATTAAGAGTATAAAATGAAAATTTTAGCAATGAGAAAAATACCAACAAACATCAAAATTTAATAATTTTATCAGAAGATTGAAAACAACAAAAAATAGATTTAATTAATTAGTTAACCTGGTCAGCCGATGTATTCAGATAATAGGTCAACATGAAACAAAAACAGACAACAGGAAAATAAATAAACTTATATTTTTATAGACTTCAAACAACAAAGAAAAAAATAACAAATGCTAACATATAATATCTTAAATGGTAATACAATTATGAAACAGCAAACACACAGAATTCATTAAAGCTGTGTTAAAAGCAAAATAAAAAAGCTTCAAATAGTTATTTTAGAGATGAAAGGCAAGAAATCAATGATAGACCTATGCTACATAAATAATAATCAAATACACTCAAGAAAAGCCGAAAAAAGAAAAGACAAATGCAGAAATCAATTGCATAGAGGATAAATATAAAATAGGAAATAAAATTAGCCATAAGTTTTTTTTGAAAAGATTAATAGAATCAATAAATTACAATTATATTGATTTTAAAATGTTAGAAAGGGCACAAATTGTGAACATATGGAATAAAAAGCACTCAAAATTCTATGAACATTAAAACGATAAATAGAATTATGAGTAAGTCTATGCCAAAAACTGTTGACGTTTAAATGTAATTAACATAATTCTTGGAAAGCACACAAAAAAATAAGC